TAAATAATTAGTAAATAATATTAATGTATAATATAAAATTAATAATTAATTAATATTTACTAATATTAGTAATAATTAAATTTTATTTATAATTACTAGTGATAAATAATAAGCAATATTAATGAGGTTATAATTGGAAAAATTGACAATAAACTACGAAAATGTTACTTCAAGTAACGTTTCAATAAGCTAGCTTATATGTATCCAAACATATATCCATATAATATACTACTTTGTTTTTGCCAACAATGCATAAAGCATCTCCGGCAGATCCCTCAAAAAAGAAAATATTTTAGGCAAAAAATTTATTCTAATATATTCTTTAAAATGGACAATACATGAGAGAGGGAATGTAAAATTCTCCAATTTTCCAAAAATGATTACAGTGAGAGTGAAATATTTATGAGCAATAAGTAATATTTTATTAAGTATAAAAATATTTAAACAATATAACTGATGTTATAATCTCCAAAATCGTGGATCCCTTAAAGTTGAGAGTTAGCTTTTGGATATTTTGAGTTTTAATTATCCATAATTTATATGTTGTTCATGGACGATGATTTTGTAATATTATTTATGATTAATAAGCATTTTAACAGAAAACAACCTTACACAACTTGATTGAGAATATATATACTAATACTACTGACATCAAGTGACCCCTTAAAATGATGTATGAAAACAATGTGTAGTAAAGAAATCTTGAGTTTGATTTACCAAAGTCTTTGATATTTCCACATTATATATGACCATCAATATAGTATGTTGTTCTATCCATCCAAATCTCATCAATGCAGGTAAGAATTATGAAGTTGATAGAAATGAATGTGGTAGACTAGAGTTTGGGTTTTGCAACAATGAGCAAACCAAATTCAAACTTCTTGGTGTGTGACAATTCAGCTCACATTAATAAATAATATAAGAAGACTGAGCATCTTATGTGGCGTTTGGTTCGCATAATGTTTTTTGATGGAATGGAATATGTTAAAGGAATTTGACTTTGAAAGAATTGGAATGAAATGTTGTTAGGTTTGACCACCTGTTTGGTTGGCAGACATTGAAATGTAATATGTTAAGAACTTGGAATATATCTATTTGGTTCACAGAATGTAGCTTTGGAATTGGAATGAAATGTTGATAAATGAACAAAATGTCCTTTTTTGAAAATTTATTTTTTTTAAAACTAAAAATACTTTAATAAAATAATTATTTAGTATGTAAAACAATATAAAACACACAACCGAAATATAACTATATTCCAAACGATGTTAGTAAACGACGGTGGTTGGTGGTGGTTCAGGTCGGTAGTGATCCACGGTGATTCAGGTCGGTAGTGGTCCACGGTAGTTCAGATAGGTGGTGGTTCAAATGGCRGTGGTCCACAGTGATTCAGATGGACGTGGTCAGCGGTGGTTCAGAAGGACGGTGGTCAGATTGGCGGTTGTTCAAATCATTGGTGGCAGGCAGTGTTCGACGATGATTCGGATTGGTGGTAGTCACCAATGGTTAGCAATGGTTCAGATCACTGGTGGTTCAGATGGCGGTCAATCAACTCTTTTTGTATCCCATTTGAATCTACCATATCTAACTGAAAAAATATTCATATTAAATAAAAATCAATAAAATAAGTAAATAAAAATGAAGTAGAAGAACTCAGATTCCATAGATCAGTCATGGTTCAAATCGGTGGTGGTTCAGATGGCGATGGTCGGCGGTGGTTCAGATGGTGGTGGTCAACGGTGATTTAAATCGATGGTGGTCGACGGTAGTCATATTGGGTTTTATGAGATTAAGGCATATTGGGTTAAGGGCATATTTGGCATTATAAAAATAGAGAATTTCATTTAATCCAAATATTATGTAGTTGCTAAAAAAAATTAAATTCCTTTATTTGTGGAATTTGTAGGATTTCGAAAATAACTTTCGTGAAAAGAAGGAACGAAACGAAGGAATGAAAGTTGGTCAATGGAATTCAACATTTCAATTCCATCAGATTCCTTCAGAATTTGCGAACCAAATGTCCCTTTATAAGCTTTTAAGTTGTAAAATATTAATAATTTGTTATCATGATTTTAGGTTGATATTTAAGTTTTTTAGCCGCTCTACTACTTTGGATTTGGTGTTACATGAGTAAATTTGATGATAATATTAGAAACTTGAGTATCTCATAAGCATTAAGTTGTAGCCTACTAATAACTCGTAGATAATTGCAGCCAACTAATACTAAAGTTG